TGGAGCGTGACACCTGACGATTTTCCCTCATAAGTTCCGAAATTTTGGAAAGCTATTTTTCAATGTCCCAGAATTTTTTGCCGAGACTGTACATACAACTGGTTTGGAAAAATTTATTGCAGTATGAAAGATCACCCGAAAATGGTTGAGAATTTGGAAAAGTGTCTGTCAATACGGCAAAGAGCCTTACCTGAAAATCATCCGGATATAACTCTTGCATAGAGTAATGTTGGTGATGTACATCGATTAATGGGTAATTATGAAAAGGCACTTGCGTTTCATCGGAAAGCATTAAATATTCAGGAAAATGTTCAATGTAATCCTTTGGATTGTGCATTGGCATATATAAATTTAGGCGAAACTTATCGTGAAATGAAAGATTATTCAACAGCATTGACATACTTTCAAAAAGGATTAGAAATACGTTAGAAGAAATTATCAAAAAGTCATCCTGATTTAGCTGTAATTTTTCATAATATGACAAAATTATATTTATCTATTCGACAGTATGATATAGTAATGAAAAATGTTCAACAAGCGATAGAAATAGCTCAAGAAAAATGACCTTCAACTCATTCTCATCTTTCGGAATATAAAGAAACATTTGAAAAAATTCGAAAGAAAATGTAATTTATTTTTTTTCTTCATTGCTCAATAAATTGATTTAAATTGCTATTCAATTTTTTTCTTCTGGTTGTTCTCTACTAATTTTGGCTTACGCGCGCGCGCGACAAGAAAGAGATCCCTTGTCATACCATAGGTACCACAGAGCGGACTACGCCGAACTAGGAGGGCAATGGTCGAAGGTATGCTGTATGAACGGTAGAGACCAACGACACATAGAGGCCTTCTCTAGTACTACACTGCTTCGCTATGACACGAAGGTTCATCTCCGTATTGAGTCAAACAACGTAGCTATCTGACCCACAGTGATAACATTGATAAGTCAACTCATACGCATACTCATAATAAATGTACATAGAACATATACATATATCTGACTCTTTCTGTCTCTCAATCTAACTCAATGTATTATTGACTATACATGTACATTTGTATACATAGATTTGAAAAATTATTTACATCCGGAATTTTTTAAAACTCAATCTCATACATCGGCTTGTCCAAGCGTAACGCGATGACGTTTTGTCCACAGTTTTATTAACTTTTCTCAACAATGAGGTTATCTAGAAGGCTCGTCCTTTCGGTGGAAGATGTGCCTCAGTCTTCCCCAAACCTCTGAAAATATGAACTCATTTGAACAAGCCGTTTGAAAATTATAGCAGAAATATGTGACGTAACGCGACGATGAACAAGGTACAAAAAGTTGAGGGTGACATTGTTGTTCTTTATTTTTCTGCGAATGTATACTACATTGAAAGAAACGCTTCATAGACGGTATGTGGCTAAGAGTTTGAAGTATCCAACGGATAAAAAAAATTTCCAAACAGGCCTCTTATTTTGAAAGGTGATCAGTTTCATTAACGTAACGCGATGACGATGACTTTTGTAAGAGTTTTTTTTCTGTGCTTCATTTTGTCATATGTACACCTCTGTAAAGACTAGATGTTATTTTTATTCTAAAGATTAAAGTATGCACATGTTAAATGCTGTGTTTATTAATCCTTTTAATACAAAAAAAATTGTAAAAAAAACAACTAATTTCACTAATATGTATAGCAATGTATGTGTAAGGTCGGGAAAACTCGAAATTTCAGTAAACAATTTTTTCTCAATAATTTATATATGGTTAGATAGAGCTCATAAAACTGTCTAAGAAACTGTACTTTAAAATCTTTTTTCACTCTTTTATATACATAAAAAACTCAAAATACTAAGATTATTCTATTACTGAGATCATTCTAAACGGAATGACCTCAGTATTTTGAGATTTTTATGTATATAAAAGAATGAAAAAAAATTTAAAGTACATTTTCTTAGACAGTTTTATGAGCTCTATCTAACCATATATAAATCATCGAGAAAAGACTTTTACTGGAATTTTGAGTTTCTTCGACCTTACGTATATATCATAGAAACGGTAAACGATTTTGATCGGTAATTTAATTTTAATTGAATTCAATCAACTTATTAGACTAATCACCTATATTCTTATGGGTATTTGTTAGTAATCAATAAAAACATACATTACTCATAGCTTACAACGGTTTTTCAATAATAAATCACTATTTGAAAAAGCTTTTTATACATATGCAAAAAATGTAGAAAACGGTAAAAAACGTCATCACGTGACGTCAAATAATTATAAAACGAAATTTTTTTTGGATAAAAATATGTGCATCAGATAGCCCATAAAAAATTAGCTTTAGGTATGTATTTTGTATAAAAAAAAGTTGAGACGAACCAGGGAAAAACAAACAATACTCATTTTTCGTTACGCGATGACGCTATAAATTCGGTACTTTGACGCGGTAGTAAGAGACTCTAGAAAGTAGGAAATCGGTTGTTTTGCCAAATGATACTCCTGTTACCGTAGAATCAATTGCTCTCAATTATGTATATATTCTTCATAATAGTTCGATAGAAGGGTTGAACTAATTATAGAGTCCAGATGATTATTCTCCTATAGATATTTAGTGACACGTTTATTAATAATTATCAAATATAATTTTCAGCACTTATTAAAAGAACAAAATATATTTCTCTATACTATAGACTGTGCTCTACAAGGTAGCAATGGCGGATCGATGAAATGATGACTTCGAATTCTTGGTCAGCGAGGTGACGCGTTACGTGAACAAACCGAAATATGAAAAAGTATCACTAGATATGTCTCCAAAAGGTCAAACACGGCCCCAATCAACTTTGTTAAAAAATTAAAATCCAAAATTTTATCGTTCATGTTACATGACAACATATATTATTGGTTCGCCCTAATACATCACATATAGACGAAGAACTTTTTCTTGTGATTTAGTTAATTGTTATACAATGTCTTATTAATGTTACTATGACTTTTCGTATTATTGGTGATATAAATCATGCAAGAGAGAATGAAAAAATTTGTAGATTGTTGATATCCATCTATTATTGAAACGAAACGGTGTTGGTACTCGGATCGTGTGATATTGATTAAGTAGTATGACCTATCAAAATGCTGTAGGGACTGATAAAACATAGTTTTACATGTAACTGAGTCTACTTTTCAATCTTTTTGGAGACATATCTTAAGTTACTTTTTGATATCGA